TCCCAAACCATGGGTGCTGGGTGCGTTCTCTTGGGAGCCTCCTCGGAGGGCCCCCTCTTGTGGGGGGCGAGGCAGTACCAGTGAACCCATCACCACCAGGAGCTTGCCCTTGGGTCCCGGCTCTTTCCTGAAACCACAGGACAAGCTGAGCTCCCAGCCGACCTGACTCTGAGCCCCTCCCCGGGGCCCTAGCTGCCCACTCTGAGCCCACCTCCTTACCTGAGGTAGGTGAACAGGTGCACCTGGTGGGCAGCATGGCTCTGTGAGGCTGAGCCTCCCCTGGGGGACCCCCCCCCCCCACTGGACGTGGCAGTAGGGTTGGGGGAGGGACAGGCTGGTCTCTGTCACATCACAAAGCTCTGTCTTGCTAGTGGGGGGTGGAGGTCAGCAGCTCCCCAGCCCCAGCAGTGACCCCTCACAATGGAAGCTCTGTAGGATCCTCTGTAGGGCTCGGAAGGCCCTCAGCACATGGCCCGGCCCTCCTCTATGGGACACTCCACGTCGGCCACACGGTCATGGACATCCAGTTCTCCTGGATGTGGTGCCCTGTCCTTGGCCAGCTGGCTCTGGCCGGTGTATGCTGGGGCCTTGGGAACATGGCTGCCATTGGGGAGGCCAGGGGAGTGTGTCCCCCTGAGAGTGAGAGACGGTGGTCCTGGGCCAGGGCAGGCATGCTGGCCCACCAAGGGAGCAGGTGACTCGGCTGCTGTCCTCTCTTCCTCTCAAAAGTCCCCGAGGGCTGTGGAGTCCTCTCCCACAAAGGCTTTGCCCTGGTGGCACAGGGTACACGGTGGGCTGCTTAGCCGAAAGGTCAGCAGTTCGAAAACACCAGCCGCTCACCAGAAAGATGGCGTTTTCTACTCTTGTAGAAAGCTCTGGAAACCAGTCCTGGAAACCCACAGGGGCAGCTCTACCCTGTCCTGCAGGGCATCTATGAGTCAGACTTGACCCAGGCAGTGGGTTGTTTTGAAGGAGTCCTGATGGGGCAGTGGTTAAATGCTTGGCTGCTGAGAGGTGGGCGGTTCGAACCTACTAGCCACTCAGAGGGGGGATGATGCAGTAGCCTGCTTCCGGAAAAACTAGGAAACCCTCTGGGGCCGCTCCACGCTGTATTACAAGCTCCCAGCAAATCAGACTGGACGGTGGCGGGTTTGCTGGGTCCCTTAAAGGAGAACAGAAGAAATACGTTGAAGCTGGGGAGCTGGTGGGCACAGGGCTGAGGTCTGCTTCAGTGTCAACAGACTCATCTTCCAAGGAGTACCACCTCTTCTGGGCATGTCCTGGGCAGGGGTGGCTGGTGTTAAAAGCAGAGGGTTTGCAGAAGTGAGGGACCCCTCAGTGGGGGTACTGGCATGAATAGCTGAAACAATGGGCTCTGTTCAGTTAGACATAAGGTCACTGAGCTGGAGCCAGCTTGCTGACAACTAGCATTTATTAATGTTGGTTGGTGGGGGGGGGAGAAAGGGGAGAGAAGAGGGGAAGAGAGAGAGGGGAGAGAAGAGAGAAAGGAGAGGAGAGGAGAGGGAGAGAGGGAGGGAGGGAGGAGAAAGAAGATGAGAGAGGGAGGAGAGGAGAGAGAGAAAGGAGAAGAGAGGGGGAGAGAGGGAAGGGGGGAGAGGGAAAGGGAGAGGGGGGAAAGGAGAGGGAGGGGAAAGGGGAGGGAAGAGGGGAGAGGGGAGAGGAACCAGGCGCTGTACCTCAGTGGGATGTAACAACCCTCTGTCACCAGCGTATTGTACCTGTTGACTTTTGACCATAATCGTGAGTTTGGTGGCCATGACATGTGAATGCCGTGATGCAGGTGCACAGGTGATGGAGCCAGGCTGGGAGACCTGGCCCCTTGGAAAGCTGCCTCCCTGGGAGAGCCCAATGCTGAGAGTCCTGTCTTCACTCAGCCCCGTGGGGACCCCTCAGGGACAGATAGTTCCCATCAGGGATGGATGGTCCCCGTTAGGAAGAGATGGTCCCCTCCAGGACGTCCTTCCTCAGGGTCAGTCCCCTGTAGGGACAGTCACTCTCAGGGCGCCCAGAGCTCCTTAGAGTCTTTGTAAGCAGCCACTCGCCTACTCTCGGGGTGACCTGGGGCCCAGGGGGGAGGCAGCAGTTGGCAGCCCCGCCTGCCCCCACTACCTCACTGCTCGGCCTCTGGAGCGGAGGGGTGTTTGTTGTGGGGACTCCGGAGCCAGGGTCCCCTCAGCAAAGTCGGAAGGCAGCTAGAAATGCAACACTGCCATCAAGTGGGCAAACGGGGGCACAGTGCCCACAAGGGCTGTTCCCAGGGCCTGGTTGGTCCTAGTTGGAGGCCTGGTTTTTGAATCGGAGCCGCTGTGACTTAAGACGAATTTGTGGTCACAACAGTCTCCAGTCACAACACCGTCACCCCCATGGGTCCTATGCTCCCCGACAACCCCTCAGCCCTCCCAACCCTGGGGGTGGGGGGAGGCACAGCGGCTTCCGGCCTATGGGAGAGTGGCTGATGAGTAGGTCCACAAGGGACTCCACCTCCCAGGGTGCTGTTTGGGCCCCACCACGGGCATGAGGCCACCAATGTCCACCGGCCCCACCGTGGCATCATAGTCATAGCCAGACCCCACCCAGCTTTGCCGCAGAGCCTAGCTCTGGGGAGGTGGTGTCCCCCACCTCTCTACAGCCAGGCCTCCCCTCCACCCTCCCCAGAGGCAACAGACTCCAAACAGCCAGGGTGTCTGCTGGGGGCCTGGAGAGGTGGCCTCTGGGAGGCAGGGTTGGTGGGCATCCCCGTGTTCCCTGTGAGAGAAGCATGTCCCTGCTGAGAGCTGGTACGGTCCCCACCTGGGGACAGCGTGGTGGCAGTGGTCTAGCTGCTAAACTGAGCAGAGGAGAGCCCTGTGCAGCCACATCCCAAAGAAGGGTCCAAGATATAGTGGAGAATCAGAAAGAGCAGCTCTTGAGTTAGAGTGTACGCTGGGTGGGGCGGGCAGTGCACCGGCTCGGCTGCTGAGTGAAAGGTTGGGGGTTCTAGTCTAGCACAACGTGTGCCTCAGAAGAAAGGCCTGGCAACTTGGCTCTGAAACACGGGTGACGGGCACCCTAGGGCAGTTCTGCTGGACTTGCACAGCTCTGCCAGAGCATGACTGGGGGTGATCAGGGCCAGCATAGGACAGGGGGCCAATGTGACCGGGCAGTCCTGTGACTCCTGGCGGCTCCTCGGCCTGAGGGGGTTCTAACCCACAGGCTGCTTTGGAAGGGGAGGGTGCCTCAGGGAGCCCACAGGCAGGGGCAGTTCCACTCTGCCCGGTAGGGTCACGATGAGTCAGAATTGACTCCATGAAGTGAGCTTTGAGCCTGTGCCCAAGAAGTGCATGGAGGCCCTTCCCTGCACGCGTTGAGCATAAGCAGAGGTGCTCGAGGTGGCCCACCTTGTGGCTCCCAGACATGTGGCGGACGGATCCAGATCACGGGTCCTAGAGCGTGGTGCCCTCATTAAGCCAGAGACGCCCCGTCCCGACGGTACAGGAGCACTGGTTGTGGAGATGCTCTGGGGGCCTCTCGGCAACCCATAGGGCCAGGGTTAACTCCAGGCCCCCCCCCGGGGGGGGGCCGGCGGTGGGAGCTGGGACTTGAACTGGGCACTGGCCGGATCTCGGGCCCTTAGCATGGGAGCCTCCCCCAAACTGCTGGATGGGATGAGATGCTGGGGGTCTGCCAGGGACATGCCCCAGAACACGGGGCCCAGAAGCGTGTCTGTTCCCAGTCTGAACTTCTATCAGCAGTATGCGGTGGGGAGAGGGGCGTGGAGCTACTGAGATGGGAAGGGCCTGGGCTCCTAGGGGTGGCTTGCTGGACTCGACTTTGTGCTTGTGGGGCAGGGATTGGCCAGCGTCACCCACAGTCATGTCCATTACTGACTTGTAACAAGCACTCCCCAATCAACCTCACCTCGTCCTGGGGCCAGGCCCCGCGACTACCCGTTCCCTCTTCCTGAATAGAACACCTTGGTTAGAGTGGTTGGCCTGAGCCCCGCTGCTATCTTAACAGGTGTGGGAGGAGACTGTGTCCCGTGGTGGGGGTGGGGTTTGCTACCCAGGGGTGCGCCTAGCAATGTGGGCATCTGGCGAAGGGAGGGTGCCGGTGGTCTCCCCCACTGGCGTGTGAGGTGGACCCCTGTCTTGCCTCAGCCCCTGTGCTGGGGGGGGACATACTTGGGTCATGCTCTGTTCGCATGTGAGGAACCTGCATGGCAGGTGACAGGGCATTGCTCTAGAGTGGGCGGGGCTGGACGGCCTGACCCCAGGGATCCAGAACCTTCCGTGGCACCGAGGAGAATCGAGGAAAACATACGTCAGATACAGGGCCAAAGCTGACAAGGCAACAGGAAGCCGGCGAGGGACGTAGGACAGCTGAGAACTGGGGGAGGGCCTCTGCCTCCACCCAGGCCTAGGCAGCCCTGCCAGGCTGCTGGCTGGTGAGGAACCCTGACTGAGGCCTGCACAGACAGCCCAGCGCTGACCAAGGGTGCAGCGCCCAGGAGGATGGGCACAGGAAGAGGAGTGTCTCACGGACACAATGGAGCCGCGATCTAATGCTGCATGTGGGGTGCAGTGGGGCTGAACCCCAAAGAACGGCTTCGAAGGTCTGAAACAGGGGCAGACACACAGGCTTTCACTGCACGGCAAATCCCCACCCCACACACCCATGTACACACAAGCCTCCTGCTCCACGCACAGCCGCTGCCCTAAGTCCACCCCCCCTCCCACTTACGCCTTCAATGCACGGGCAGCCCCCCATGAATCTGCACCATCCCCCACTTATCCATATACACACAGGCACACAGGCCCTTCTACCACTACCCAGCGCCCCTGCAAGCACACCGGGCACTGGCACGAAGACAGGCCGCCTCCACATTCCCACGTCTGGAGTCTCCAGCTCCCGGGACCTAGGCCCCCTGAAGGCTTGGTCCCCAACTCCGTCCACCCCACGTCCCTGGCCCGGCGGCATCCGGACGGGTCAGGAGGCACCTGTTGCTGTGACAAAGCCATGTGTGTTATTAGTGCATCACAGAGCACACCCAGGTCGTCTCCAAGCGCCGGTCCTCAGGCGCGTTGGGGCCCCCCAGTGCTTCACGCAGCTGTGCTCTGGGGCACAGGCAGTGGTTTTACCGATTCGGTGCCGCTGGCCCGCCTCAACACACACGCTGCGGGGACTGCACAGCACAGCCGGAGCGAGCAAAGCGTGTGTGTGGCAGTGAGGGGCCACCCACAGGTTTGAGCTGCTTTTGGCTGCTTGCCCTGGTCCTTGGGTGAGCCGAGCAACGTACCTCGGCGGGACCTCCCAGGAGGCAGGAGCGGCCCTGGCCCTGGCCCTGGCCCCGGGCTCCGCCACCTTGTGTCCACTTGCACCCACAGTCACCTGGTGACCACAGTGGGTGGGGCCCTGCCCCAGGAGAAGGGAGCAGAGCGGGGCCTCCTGCTCTGCCCAAGGACCTCTTGTGGACACTCAACCCTCGGGGCCCAGCCACGAGGACAGATGGACGGGGCAGTGCGGCTGGTCGTGGCTATAGCTTGCTGCTCTTCTGGAACTGGCTGACCAGGCTGAGGACCTGCTCAGAGGCCTTGATGTGCTTGGAGCCCAGGTAGGCGGTGCTGTTCATGGTGGTCTCCTCCAGGAAGTAGCGGTAGTTGACCATGAGGCCGCAGGAGCCCGTCAGGCCCTTGCGGCTCTGGTCGGCCATCCAGTTGATGCGCCACAGGACGGCCCCGTTCTGCAGGTGGAAGTTGGCGACGGGGTTGAGGGCATAGCCCCGGTGCTTCTCGCCGTAGAGGTACCAGGCGCAGAGCCGCATCAGAGGGGCCTGCAGCGCCCGAGCCAGCTGCTCGCTCAGGGCCCACTCGTGGCTGCTGAGGAAGTCCTTGAGCGTGTCGCCGACCGGCCCGCCCAGGAGCTCGGCCAGCTCCTGCGCCTCGCCGTCCGTGAAGAGCGGGCTGTGCCCATGCTCCTTCGGCGAGCTCAGCAGACCCAGCAGCCACTTGGTGAAGCCGGGGATGGGCGAGAGGCTGGAGAAGGCCGCCACGTGGGGGAACTCTCTCTGTGAGACAGGCACACGGACAGACAGACAGGTTCAGTGGGCGGTTCGCTGGTGGATCAGCACTCCTCTCCACCCATCACTCACACCTGACCAATCTGTGCGTACAGAGCCTCAGTGGGTTAAACACTGGGCCGTGGACCACAAGGGCTCCGGCCCACCGGCTGCTCCGCGGGGGCGGGGAGGTGACCCTGCCTGAGCCTGTCAAGGCGGGCAGTCTCGGGAAGCCTATTCAGGGTCGTCGAGCGTTGGGATTGGCTGGACGGCAGCCCGTTCCTCTGAATGACACCTCGGACACACTCTGGTCATCTGCACTCACTCAAGGGTCTTTGGCTGGGCACACCCTGGCCAGGTGGGCTTCAGGACCGCCCTTTCTTCTGGGGACAGCGAGGCTCGAGTTGGGGCCCTGCCGAAAGCGAACCGGCTGGGCCGCTGTGGGGCGGGCCTGGTATGCAGGCACCCAGGGGCTGGGTTACCCCGTGTGGCAGGGTGCATGCATCGTGCCTCCCAAGGCATGTGCCAGCTCGGCTGGGCCTGGGCCCCTGTGCTGTGTGGTCGCCCTCTGTTCTGTGATCTGATGTGACTATCCTCTGTGTTATAAACCCTCACTAGAGTGCTGTTTACGAGGCAGGACACAAGCCAGGGGTTTAAGTTGTGCCTTGAGTGTGTCTCTTTAGAGCGGTCACGGAGGTTAAACAAGTGATCGACGGTTGGAGGGACCTCCTACCACCATCCTTTGGGGCTGGGAACCACCTAGACCCAGGAGGCTGAGAGAGATCTCCCTGTGGGGCCTTCCAGTCTTCTGAGCGGTGAGAGAGTAAATGTGCTTGTTACAGCCACTCTCTGCACTGCCCTGGAGGACTCAGACAGCCCCCCCACCCCCACACCAGGCACACGACGGTGGGTGCAGAGGGTGGGACCCAGGGGTCTGGGGGCGTTTCTCCATTCTCTAGCTTCAATCACAATCACTCAGTGAGCGAGCCCCACGCTCGGAACTTTCTGGTCATAAAAGGCAGGCAGGCTCACGAGGCATTGCTTTTGAAATCTGGCAGAGGACAGGCTGGTCAGCGTGCTCCCGGCTGGGTCACAATTCCCGGTACTGTGAAATTCTCCTCTTCTGTGTGGTCCAATGCCTGGGGAGATCCCGTGCACCCAATATATGTGGATCTTTGAGCCCCCTCTAGAGCCTACGTCTGACTTGCCAGCCTCTGACCTCTGGATCTTCGGACATGAGCCAGCAGCCTGCTGTCTGACCTGCTGATTCTGTGTATGTCAGACGCCAATGCCATTCGAGTCGGGAAGCCTCCAGCCGGAAGTCTCACACACGGATTTGGGACTTGCCAACCTCCACAGCCATGCAAGCCACTTCCTCGGAACAATTTTTCCCTCTCCGTGCACATATCCTGCACACACATGCACACGTCCTGCATACATCACTGGCTTGTTTGCTGGCAATCCCAGCAAGGTCCTGCTCACAGTACATCCTGAGGCGGCGATGCGAGCCGGGGAACTTCCTGTGGCAGGATGGGTACAGCGCTGCTCACAGCAACAGTGAGAGCATGCGGTGGAGACCCAGCCTTGCCTCTGGGGTGGATGACTTGCCAGCACCAGGAGCCCGGCAGCGTGTGGACCGGGGCAGGCTGGCCATACATGGCGTGGCTAGGGTGACCACTCAACCGACAGCCACCATGGGCCACTCCAGAGGACAGACGCAGGTGCTCCTGCAACACCACCCCGGCAAGGCTGACATCCCAGGGCACACCCGAAGTGCAGGGCAAATTCGAGATTCCCGCTTCCCCTCCTGACTCCTGGACGGCCGGGAAGAGCCCTGTCCACCGCGACCAGAGCTGGGCGCTTACCCGCAGCTCCTTTATGACCCGCTTGATTAGGAAGGTGCCGAGCTCGATCCCCTGCAGGCCCTGCTGCGTCAGGCTGATGGAGTAGAAGATGGCGGTGGTGATGTGGTTCTTGTCCTCTGTCTCTGAGGGGGGGCAGTCCTTCACAATCGCCTGGAGGACAGAGAGCACGCTGGGGTGCGATCCTGCCCATGGGTCAACCACTGGGCGGGGTGCCCACAACAGGGGAGCCGTGGTCTCAGGGCCACGGGGGTCCTTATGGGGGGGAGCCGTGGTCTCAGGGTTGTGTACACTTTCCCGTCAGTGACAGCAGGTGGACGCTCTCAGGCCTGTCCCACTGTCCACGCTTGCTCAGTGACAGCAGGTGGACGCTCTGAGGGGCCGGCTTACTGTCCACACTCATTCAATGACAGACGTGGGCACTCAGGCCCCATTCTGGCCACTCTGTTCCCTGTCATCTTGTCCCTCTGCCCTGACACCTGCTTGTCTTTGTCTCACAGAGGGTTCTCAAGCGGACACGCAGGGCCCTGCTGCACTGATGATTCTGTGAGCCCATGTGTGGCTTGGGGACCCAGGCCCCAGCGCTGGTCACAAGGCCCCAGGCTTCCAGGCACCGTGTCTAACAAGGTGGGGTACACACTTCTCCCAGAAAGGCCTCTGCTCTGCTTGCCCCCAGACTCTCAAAGGACCCTGAGAGACCCCCAAAGTAAAGGGCATCCTGAGAGGGGGGGTGGGGGGTGGGGTGAGGCTGTGAAACAGAAGTGGAGATCCCTCCCAAGCCCAGGCCTGGCCCTGCACTCTTGCAGAGGAGCTAACGGTGGTCAAAGAGAGCCCCTGTCCCGCTGAGTCTCACTCACAGTCTTCATTGCTTCTGCTGCTCAAGAAGCAGGCGCACCTGCCCAGGTGTGTCAGCCGGTCCTGCCAGGGGCCATCAGGAGAGGGCACACTAGCCACAAGCACAAGCAGGGACGACCAGACAGGACCCGTTTCAGCGCAGGGCGGTGAGAAAGGAGCCTCTCTACCCTGAAGCGCACTGCGCAGCTGAGGCAACGCTGAGTCAGCGTTCTAGCTCCTCCCCTTCACAGCCGCCCCCCCCCCCCAACTCTGCCATGCAGACTCTGAGCGACCCTACCAGGATAGGGTAGAACTGTCCCTGTGGGTTCTGGGACGGACTCGGACTCTACAGGGAGCCGAACGGGGCTGGTGGTTTCCAGTGGCGAGCAGCCTGCGTGTAACCACCCCGCCACCAGGGCTCCGTGGCTTGACCAGCCACCTGTCCATCCGATGAGATGCCAGCCCGCCACGGGGCGCTACCTGGATGTTGCTGGTGATCTCGGGGGTCAGGGCCACGTGCAGGACCACCAGGGGCTCCTCGGGGGTGGAGCAGTGGGAGAAGTAGTAGCAGCGTCGGTAGGGCCCCACGCGGCGCTTTATGTCCATCCAGTTTTTTATGGGGTGCACCACCTCGGACCTGGTGAGGGGCAGAGGGAGGGAGGGAGGGAGGAAAGGGACAACGCTCACTAGGGGTCACAGGGCAGCTGGATACCGACCCCGCCCTCTGCCAGCGCCCTTCGTCCCGGAAGTGTGGGGCCAGGCTGGGATCCCGACACTTGTTTTAGGACGACCCACCACGCGCAGGAACCCCACACAGTGCTCCCAGCATCCTCTGGCTCCTGCAGCTGCGAAGTGCCCCTCGCCCGGTGGGTCCGGCCTGTCCAGCCGCCTGCTGGGACCAGGACACAGGGCCAGCCTGGGGGTGGGAGGGGCACCCGGGGGAGCCCTCCTCCAGCAGTTGAGACAGCCCCGACTGAGACTGCGCCTCCAACCCCGCCTGGGTGGCCAAATGGTCGGCGCTCAGCTAAGCAGACAGTTCAAGTCCACTCACAGGTACCTCAAAAGAAAGGGCTTGCGACCAGCCCCCGAGAACTTGGGGTCCCCCCAATGGCACCTTTTGGGGCACAAGTCTGTCATTATGTGTAAATGTTACGTTAGAACTTTTAGCTGAGGGTGGGGAGGAATGCTATTGTAATGACTGGAGCTCCGCAGGGCCCAGGGCCCCTAAACTTGGTGATGGGGGGTGGGGTTGTGCGTGTGCTTCTAATTGGTCATTACAGATAAGACCCCTTGCCCCGTACAAGGGCACAGGCAGGAGGACGTAGATAAGGAACCCCTGCTCCGAGATCCCGGGGTCTGGGGGCGCATGTACACGCACGCGGAGGGATACTCACTCACTGATCTTTTGCAGCACCTCGCACGGCGAGTGCCAGGTGACGCGCTCCAGGTTGAGGAAGCTCGAGGAGAACCACTCGGTGAGCATGCTCTTCAGCACGCCGTCCATTTCCTGCAGGAGAGAGGGACCATGTGGGCCACCCGGCCACGCGAGCCACTGCCCGCATGCTGGCCGGGCCTTGTGCTGAAGGGCAGGTCCAGGACGTGGTGTGCCCCCCCCACCCCCCACAGGGCATGTGAAACGATCTAGAACAGGTCTATGTTTGCGGAGCACAGTGGGTTCCTGGGCAGCGGGGATGGGGCTGCAGTGGGCAGCCGGCGATGCAGAGTGGTGACAGAACACCTGGCGGATGCGATCAGGTGCTGTGTGCGGAAACACACGCACACCCACCCTACCCTGAAAAAAAGGGACGTCTGCTACTCTTCACACAAATAGACCCCTAAAGTTGACTGGTTGATTCTCTATGCAGCTTTTTCTGCAGGGTCCCCGTATTCAACCCTCTCCTGCAACCAAAACCAATCCCCAAATCCCTGCCTTCAAGTTGATGCCGGGACAGCAGGAACCTGCCCCAGTGAGTTGCTCAGATTGTAACTCTATGGCAGTAGAAAGCCCCCTCTTCCTCCCTTGAAATGGCTGGTGGTTTTGAACTGCTGACCCTGTGGTGAGCAGCCCGACAGGCAAGAGCTCCTTGTGGAAGGCCTCTGTGACTGAAGAGTAAGCACGCTGTTCATTGGGAGTGGTGCAGTGGGGTTGCTAAGGCAAGGTATGTGGTTCGAAACCCACCAGCCGGCCCACAGGAGAAAGAGGAGGCTGTCTGCTTCCACAAAGATTGATGCCTCAGAAACCGAGGGGCAGTGCCCCCCTTGTCCTATCGGGCCCCTGTGACAGGGATGGGCTGGATGGCAGGGAGTGAGACACCTGGAGGGGGAAGAGTTGCCCACATCACACAGCATGCTCTGAATCTGGGTCACAGTGAGCACAACCCCACCCAGAGATGGAATGAGCGCCGAAGGCCGTGTGGTGTCTCTGTGGTCTGCCAGCACAGAGCCCTCTCCTGGATTTCAGCAGTCTAGGAGGCTTGCTTTGCCACGGTCCCCTCTCCGTCATCAGGACACAGCTTGGCCTGATGGGAGGTAGCCTGTCCTTCAACGGACAGCTTGTTTTTTAAAACCTTGGTTGGCATTTTAGATTACATGGTTTCAGTTCACCTCTATCTACCTCCAGAGACAGCGAGTTGGTTTTTAGCACCCAAGCTGCAACCGGGACCTTTATAGTGAGGTTAGGAGAGCCAGAGGCCCCAGGGGGCTGGGGGTGGGTGGGACACCATGGAGGTGGGTAGCGGGGTCAGGAGGCCTTGACCACTGAGGGCCATGGCTGTGCTGCAGCATGACTTCGGAGGAAGTGGTATAGCTGACAGACATGCCCCATGAGAGGCCTCTTCCTTCTATTTTGAGCTGGTGCAGCACAGCCGGTTAAAGTGACCAAGGCCCAGGAGCACAGGGAATCTGGGTGAAGGGTGACAAGTGTTCGCTCTCAGGGCCAAGCCTGACCACCACTGCTGGGGCTGGAGGGAGGTCTCAGAGCCAGGCTCCAGCTCAGCAGGGCCAGTGGGGGACTCTGTGCTCACTGACTTGGGGTCACATCAAGCAGAGGCTTGGAGACACAGCCTCCGGGAGTTTCTGGAGTCTGAAAGCTGCTCACGGCTCCCTACCAGGTTCTGTTCAGGACACCGAGGGTGGGCTGGCACGGCAGGTGTGAGTGGTGGTGCGGGGAATGCTGGGTGGTGGGTACCAGCAACTTCTCATCTTCAGACCACACACACACACACACACACCTCTTCTCTCCCACACATCCCACTCAAACAGCCCGCATACAAACTCACCCTGCTCACACACCCCCACCCTTCACTCAAATGGCCCTCATACACATGCACCCTTCTCACACACACACTGCCACACACACACCCTTTCTCACACACGCTAAAGCTGTCACTGAGTTCAACCTTGACTCGGGGTACCCCATGTGCATTTCAGAGTAGGCAGTGCCCTTTCAGGAGCCCTGGTGGTGCAGTTGGTTCAGTGTTGGCCTGCTCACAAGGCTGGCAGTTAAAATCCACCAGCCACTCGGAGGGAGAGACAATATAGATTCACCACCTTGGATACCCGACAGACACGCACGGACGCATACATGAATGCATGCACACACACAAGCACAGGCGTGCTCGCTCACTGTGAGCCAGACCAGCCTCGGCAGCACTGGGTCTGGAGCAGATCGCCAGGCTTCTCTTCTGAGGCACCTCTGGGTGGGCTGACGGTGAGGAGCAGAGAGGGCCAACAAGGGGCACTCGGACATGGGCTTCTGTGCTCAGGCCCACGCGAGGCCGCATAAGTGGGACTGTCCCCCAACTGTGGCTCCACTCCCTCCGGCTTCTATGGGGCCGATTGGGGCTCTGTCTTCACTCGCTCCCCTCTCTCTATCATCCAGGTGGTGTGCCTTCCTGAGGGCATGTTCCAGGCACAGTGACAAGCCTCTTAAGTCCATCTGGGACTGGGGTAGCACACAAGACAGCTAGAAATAAGACCCCCCCTGCCTCCCCCCACCCCCCACAGACAAAGGACACAGTTAACTGCTTGGAATCTCACTGCCATTGAGTCCAGGCTGACTCACAGTGACCCTACAGGACAGGGCAGAACCACCCCTGCGGGTGAGGCTGTGGCTCTTCATGAGAGTAGAAGAAAGCTCTTTCTCCCAAGGAGGGGCTGGTGGTATCAAACTGCTGACCTTGCAGGCAGCAGCCTTAGGTGTAACCACTACGTCACTAGGACACTCTGAACCTGCCTACAGATTCCTTCAGTAGGAAGACCAGTAAAGCTCCGTGGTCAGCAGAAATAGATCCGCTGGGATCAACTGCCTGTTACCCATCCAACACTGTCCATGAATCTAGAGCACTGGACCAAGAACTTCCGGGCTGGGGATATCCCTTCCCTTCCCCTCACTTCAGTTCACCGCCTCCGGCTATCACACTTGCTGTCGGGAAAAACCACCACGTGGCCTTGTAAAACATTGACCTTTGCCGCCTTGTAAAACATCCCTTAAACCGGCACTTGCCTCTGTCCGGCAGAGGCTCGGCGCCCCTGCTAGACTCGGGG